TGGGGAATTCGATCAGGAATTTTGGGGATTTTGATGAATTAGCTTTGGCAACCCTGCTCCCAATACGATACAAAAATCCGTCGTGAGCTTACTTTTTGTGCCTTATACCGGTCAGTGGCGCCCTAAATTTGTAGTCCATTGAGCGTCCTCGAAAACCATCGAGCGTCCTCGATCAGTTTCGAGAGTTACTCTAAAACTATCGAGAGCCCTCGATCACTTTCGAGTGTCCTCGAAAACAATCGAGCGTCCTCGAAAACAATCGAGCGTCCCCGAAACCTATCGAGCGTCCTCGAAATCTATCGAACGTCCTCGATCACTTTCGAGCGTCCTCGAAAACAATCGAGCGTCCTCGAAATCTATCGAGCGTCCTCGATCACTTTCGAGTGTCCTCGAAAACTATCGAGAGTCCTCGAAATCTATCGAGCGTCCTCGATCACTTTCGAGAGTCCTCGAAAACAATCGAGCGTCCTCGAAAACAATCGAGCATCCTCGAAATCTATCGAGCGTCCTCGATCACTTTCGAGCGTCCTCGAAAACAATCGAGCGTCCTCGAAATCTATCGAGCGTCCTCGATCACTTTCGAGTGTCCTCGAAAACTATCGAGAGTCCTCGAAATCTATCGAGCGTGCTCGATCACTTTCGAGCGTCCTCGAAAACAATCGAGCGTCCTCGAAAACTATCGAGAGTCCTCGAAATCTATCGAGCGTCCTCGATCACTTTCGAGCGTTCTCGAAAACAATCGAGCGTCATCGAAATCTATCGAGCGTCCTCGAAAACTATCGAGCGTCCTCGAAATCTATCGAGCGTCCTCGAAAACAATCGAGCGTCCTCGAAAAAATCGAGCGTCCTCGAAAACAATCGAGCGTCCTCGAAAACAATCGAGCGTCCTCGAAAACAATCGAGCGTCCTCGAAATCAATCGAGCGTCCTCGAAAACTATCGAGCGTCCTCGAAAACAATCGAGCGTCCTCGAAAACAATCGAGCGTCCTCGAAAACAATCGAGCGTCCTCGAAACCTATCGAGCGTCCTCGAAATCTATCGAGCGTCCTCGATCACTTTCGAGCCTCCTCGAAAACAATCGAGCGTCCTCGAAAACTATCGAGAGTCCTCGAAAACTATCGAGAGTCCTCGAAATCTATCGAGCGTCCTCGATCACTTTCGAGCGTCCTCGAAAACAATCGAGCGTCCTCGAAAACAATCGAACATCCTCGAAATCTATCGAGCGTCCTCGATCACTTTCGAGCGTCCTCGAAAACAATCGAGCGTCCTCGAAATCTATCGAGCGTCCTCGATCACTTTCGAGTGTCCTCGAAAACTATCGAGAGTCCTCGAAATCTATCGAGCGTCCTCGATCACTTTCGAGCGTCCTCGAAAACAATCGAGCGTCCTCGAAATCTATCGAGCGTCCTCGATCACTTTCGAGTGTCCTCGAAAACTATCGAGCGTCCTCGATCACTTTCGAGCGTCCTCGAAATCTATCGAGCGTCCTCGAAAACAATCGAGCGTCCTCGAAAACTATCGAGAGGCCTCGAAATCTATCGAGCGTCCTCGATCACTTTCGAGTATCCTCGAAAACTGTCGAGCGTCCTCGATCACTTTCGAGCGTCCTCGAAAACAATCGAGCGTCCTCGAAAACTATCGAGCGTCCTCGATCACTTTTGAGTGTCCTCGAAAACTATCGAGCGTCCTCGAAATCTATCGAGCGTCCTCGATCACTTTCGAGTGACCTCGAAAACTATCGAGCATCCTCGATCACTTTCGAGCGTCCTCGAAAACTATCGAGCGTCCTCGAAATCTATCGAGCGTCCTCGATCACTTTCGAGTGTCCTCGAAAACTATCGAGCGTCCTCGATCACTTTCGAGCGTCCTCGAAATCTATCGAGCGTCCTCGAAAACAATTGAGCGTCCTCGATCACTTTAGAGTATCCTCGAAAACTATCGAGCCTCCTCGAAAACTATCGAGCCTCCTCGGAAACAATCGAGTGTACTCGAAAAGTATCGAGCCTCCTCGAAAACAATCGAGCGTCTTCGAAACCTATCGAGCCTCCTCGAAAACAATCGAGCGTCTTCGAAACCTATCGAGCATCCTCGAAACCTATCGAGCATCCTCGAAATCTATCGAGCGTCCTCGATCAGTTTCGAGTGTCCTCGAAAACTATCTGTTTGACTGCACGGTTGCTGCGGTGGCTGGGTAACCGGCTGCCGTGCAACGTGTCGCGGGTTCGATTCCCGCACGGAACAACACTTTGTGTGATCCAGAAATTGTTGTTTCGGGTCTGGGTGTTATTGTGTAACAAGTGAAACAAGTGAATTTATTTCTGCAAATAGGCTACAAGGCAGCACTTTTATGTACTGTATGTGAACTTGTATGTTTGTAAACGCACCCACGACACAGGAGAAAATCCTAGTGTGGGGCAACGTTTAAAAAAAAAATAAGATAAGTTTTGAGAGTTATTCGATATCTATTGAGTATCCTCTATCATTTTCGAGAGATAGTAAGAGACACTTAGGGAGTAGTATCGCGTCGCGTCAAATAGGCTACAAGGCAGCACTTTAACACGTCAATTTTATCAAGCGACCAATGAGGCCGATATTTCCTAACTGACTACTCTAAGAAGAAATGCCGAAACAAACTCAGAAGTCTGTCTTTTTTAAAGTCCAGACAAATGTGTATAAAAGTGTGTGTGTTATGTGTGAGAACCGTACAAGATCTTTCTGTTGTGGCCTTCTGAGGAAACAACCACAAGAGTTTGATCGGACCCGCTCTGAAGGCAGTACGCATGTGTCGGTTTACAATCAGCTCAATTAACAGGTGAGGCTGACTGATTCGACGAACAACACCAACCTTAAGAACATTTGCGTGGGTCGCACAAATACTCAAACTGTCAGAATATGGGTAATTAGAAAAGAAATGGCGAGGCAAAATCTATGTCGATCAATCGGAATTAGATTCAAGAGCCCCAAGTAAGCATGATTCGCGGTATCCCTAGGGTGACAGGTTATAGAGGTAGTTTTTTTTAAAGATAATACGACCCCCGGAGTATCTACATATCATAACATAACATCACGCCTTTTATCCCCGAAGGGCTAGTCAGGGGTGCACATACAATGTAACACCCACTTTTCATTATTTATGTTATGAGTCCCATGTAATAGGGGGTGAGCCTATTGCCATATACCGGGCACATTTCAAGACTCCGTGCTACTACTGAAAACTAGTATTACTTTGGAAGTAGCTAGTATAAAATAAATTGATAAAAATGTAACGATGTATGAATGTTTCCGTGAAATTAAATGAATGAACTCACTTCAGAAACTCTCAGACTTTGTTTTAGAAGTTGTTATAAACAAATAGTAAAGTGGAACAATGGTCGTGAAAACAATTTATACGGCGTGTTTTCAAATGATAACAAGGTATTTAAATTTTTAATAGGGAATGCAAAACCCGCAAGAATGGCGTCAAGCGCATTTCGCAAGATTTTAAAATACAATCTCGCCAATTACGAGATCTCGCGAGATTATGAAATACAATCTCGCCAATTACGAAATTCGCGAGATTAGCAGTTTTGTATGGTTTTTTGTTTGGAAATATTTTATGAATATATTAAGAAATAATAATAAGATACCTACACATTTATTTTCACGACCTTTTCCTTGAAAGTTGGAACAAAACAATTCTTCTAGCTAGTTTTTTTTATGTTTTTTTTAATAGTTTACTAATTCTACTTTGAAGTATGAAACTACCAAATAACAATTGATAAAAACAACTACTCTTTTCTTCTAAAACAAAACTAAAACCCTTTAGTGAAGCAATCTCATGAATGTCGCTAGATCTCGAACACTTTTCGACCGAGATTAATCTCGATAAAGGTGAAAAGAATGAAATTTGCAAGCCCAAATCTTGACGCGATTGTAATTTTAATTTGCAAGCCCAAATCTTGACGCGATTGTAATTTTAATTTAGAAATAAAATTGAAAAAATTATTTGTGCAACACCTGTAAAATCTGCCATGACAAAGTCATATTGTGTTGGCAATAATAGAACACGCTGTACCTGAGGTTAAGAGCAAGCAAATTCAAAGAGAAGAAAATAATCACAATGAAAGAACACACGTGCAAAGTGTAACAGAAAATCTAATTAAATTCATCATAGATTTTAAACAAAAAAGAAATAAATCGCAAATAAATAATAAATAATCAAAATCAATCATCCATAAATAACTAAACATAAATTTATTTTCCATTAATTTTATTTATGAACGACCAATTAGTGACAGTAAAAATGAGTGTTATAAAAACGAGTTCCTGGATTGTTTTGCTCGTGATTTTGTTTATTGTCGGGTCGGAGTGCAAAAAGAAGAAGGTGTCTTCAGGTATGTTCATTAATTTCAGATAAATATAATTACTTTATGCAACTCTGTGAATAATTGTGTCGCGTCAGTTGGCGGCTCGGTGATCTGTGATACAGGTTTCAACAGACACCAGTCTCAGGTTTAATTGTAAAATTGTTAGCTGTACATAATTGTGTGAATGATGATAACATAACATCACGCCTTTTATTCCCGAAGGGGTAGGCAGAGGTGCACATTATGCCACTGTACCTCTACAATGTAACACCCACTATTCACTATTTATGTGATGGGTCCCATGTAATAGGGGGTGAGCCTATTGCCATATACCGGGCACAATTCCAGACTCCGTGCTACTACTGACATTTTTTTAAACCTAGTATTACTTTGCTCGACCTGGGAATCGAACCCGAGAACCCTTGCCCGGCAGTCGAACTTGCAACCACTCGTCCAACGAGAGAAATAAACGAATATTATTATTAAGAAAAGATACTTAATAGCAGAAGATTGTGTAAATCTTAAACAAAATGTCATAAAAGGTAAAAAGTCTCAAACTCTCAACATCATAAGGCATGACAGTCCTCGTGTTGAACTGTTGGTCTCCTCTAGTACAAGAATAAGAGTCAGCCATGATCTTAATGTTTTAGCAAGATGATCTCCGTCCACCATAAGCACAAGCCTGTGGACGGCGAGCTCATACTCGCTCGGCCAGAACCAGCTAGACTATTTTTATATATTTCAATTCAAAATACCAAAGTAAACATGAGAATCTCGACCGATGACATGCGAAAATGCGATCAAGGTCACTCCGAAAGTTCGAATTGACAGTTACAAAATAGCCTAATTGCACCGAGCGTAGCTCAAAGAGCCATCAGACCACCACAGATAAGGCCCAGTAGGGCTGATGCTGATACGAAGCTGCGGATGGCTAAACGGGTTGCCGGGGCTCCGGCTCGAAGTGCAAGAGTAGGAATGGGGTGGTTTTTAGTCAGTAAGAGTTTAACACTTTTTAGCCTTACCCAGACAGAGTGGAAGGAGACACTTTATAATTTACCCCCCTCAAGAAGAAGAAGAAGAAAGCGACAGTCACAAAAACTATTTGAAATAACATAGTAGATTATAAATTATATGCTATTAATCTATTCTATGGTGTTTTTCATCAGGTCACAAGCAAAAACTGAATATCTGTACCTTGGAAATTGATGAGGGTGACTGCGGAGGAGACAGTATGAGCGAAGAACCAGAAAATTCAACTATTTAGTAAGTAAAATGAACTACACTTAACCCTTTGAGTACCGTCATTATAGACACAATTAAAGAACAATAGGTTACCGGTCACCGGTGTCCTCGCGGTGTTTGACAGTTTAAAGAAAGAAAGAATGCAAAAACATTTATTTAAAAGCAGAGAAATGGAGCCTCTACCATTATTTTCACATTATCGATCCCTCTATAACTATAAAAAAACATAATCCATTTACAACAAAATACTCTCATTTTAAACTGTCAAACACCGCGAAGACACCGGTGACCGCAACCTATTGTTCTTTAATTTTGTCTATAATGACGGTACTCAAAGGGTTAAAGGTAACTAAATTGCCTTTTATACGTCATACGTTACCAATTAATAAAATGCTGGTATCACAAAATGTTTGTCAGGAAATGAAAAAGAAAATACGCTAAAGGCTCCGTAAATAAAATGTGCATTTCTGCCCCAATATACATTATACTACAGTAACTATGATTACACCCTCGACTGCCTGGGTTTGATTCCCGGGTCGGGCAAAGTACTATTGGGTTTTTAAAAAAATCTCAGTGGTAGCACGAAGTCTGGCATTGTGCCCGGTATATGGCAATAGGCTCACCCTATTACATGGGACTCATAACATAAATAGTGAAAAGTGGGTGTTACATTATACAGTGGCATTAAGTGTCGTAATGTGCACCTCTGCCTACCCCTTCAGGGTTAAAGGCGTGATGTTATGTTAACTATGATTACACCAAACACCATTGACATGTTACTCACGAAAATGTCTCTTTTTACAGCTACGGTTTCAACAACCAAACGATGAAATGTGAAGAATTCATCTATGAAGGCTGCGGAGGGAATGACAACAGGTTCGATTCCATAAACGAATGCTGGCGTATGTGTTATACGCCGCTGAAATACTTCTTGGCAAGAGTCACTGATTACCTGATGCACCAGTATAATGTGCATCCACCCGAAACGAGTACATCTTCATCTAATTCTGAACAAAAAGACTGATTACTAGTTAGTATTCGTAAATCATCACCATCATTTATTTTGGGGCAACACCACAGCCTCCCAAAACCACTGCAACTCCTGTAAGCTAGGATCAGCAGTAGGTACAACTATAGTGAACTCATCTAATTCTGTGACTCGCCTAATAATTCGGTTTAGTAAATTTGGTAGAACTCTTAGGTTTCTAGATAAAAATCTGATTATTTGTGCTAATATTCATCATAAAAGACTGATTAAAACTCATGCGGAGACTGAATTAAATTAATTAATAATTTATTGGTATTTTATTACTCAAATGCCTTTGTCACGAAGATAGATGAGTTCACCCTATGCAAAGACCGGAATACTGAAGTCCGGTGCGTACCAGGGACATGAATAACTGACATGGACACGAAATAATTAATATTATTCTAGGATTAGAGGAACGTCGTGGTGGCTCGGAGGTTTACGACGCACTTCTTATACATGAGGGTGCTGGTTCGAAACCTACCAACGGCAAGTACCAATGTGACTTTTTCCGAGTCATATGTACTTTCTAAGATTATTTAGACACCACTGACAAATGGTGAAGGAAAACATCGTGAGGAAACCTGGACTTATAATTTCTAATTATAAGTTTGAAATCACCAACACGCATTGAGCAAGCGTGGTGATTAATGCTCAAACCTTCTCCGTGTGAGAAGAGGCTTTGCTCAGCAGTGGGCATTTATAGGCTGTTGATGATGATGATGATTAGAGGAAAAGAGAAACCGGAAAATTTTCTACTTCTCTCAAGAGACAGAATGACTTATCACTACATAGTATAAAACAAAGTCGCTATCCGCCATCTGTCTGTCCCTATGTATGCTTAGATCTTTAAAACTACGCAACGGATTTTGATGCGGTATTTTGCAATAGATAGAGTGATTCTTAAGGAAGGTTATGTATAATAATATATGTATAATTCATATTGCACTCGTACGAAGCCGGGGCAGGTCGCTAGTTAGAGTTACAGAAAAAATAGTATTGTAGATAAAAATAGTCAGTTTGCACTTTCCTCTGTGAATTTTGGAGACAAAATGACTTAAGCCTAAAGACGCAATGGGACACAAATGGGAGAAGCCTAAATCTCAGCATCATCATCATCCTTTCCTTCATCGTACCACAAGACAATTGGCGAAGCGTCACCGATTCACAGTAGATGTCCCCCCCACACGCACGAAGCGCTTCGCATCAAGCTTCCTTGTGCGTACTGCTAAGGAGTGGAATTATTTGCCAAAGTCTGTGTTTCCTGAAGGGTATACCTAAGTGTCTTCAAGTCCGACTGAATAGGTTGCTTATGGGACGACGTGCTCTATCGTAGACCGCATCATCGCTTACCACCAGGCGAGATAGTGGTCTAACTTCGGCACATCAAAGTCTACTGCTGTACAAAAGCCTTTGTCTTCCACGTCGAACGGCAACGCGGTACTTGCATCCATCGGCTCTTCGCGATCCTGACGATGTCGTTTTTCCAACTTGTGCAAAGCCAGCCCATGCTAAATCTTCCCATAAACATTTACCCGACCTGAGGATCTTACCTAAAACCCTTCGGCAGTTGCAATGGCAATCACTTGACCAATAAGGCAATCTGGAATATTAATGTGTACCTTTGCTTACCCCTTGAGGAATAAAATTAAAAAGCGTGATGTTATGTTAGGAATACTTTGTTTATTAGTTTATTGAAAACAAAAAAAAAGATATACCTATTGTTAAAATTTTATACTATTCCAAAAAAGTTGACATTTTCTATTAAATTTATGAAATAAATAAACTGTTTTTATATTTCAGCTGTTTGAATTCCCACCTTTATCATTTGCAAACCAATTCGACGCCATTGTTAAAATCATATTGTAATATTTATTTTAATTGTACCTAACTAAAAGAAAAGTAAATAAGGTTTAAATTACTTTGGGCCGAGTTTTTCAAACGTCAGTTAAATTTTATCAGAGGAACAACTTTGAATATTTCACAATTTAAATGTCAATTGCTATTGTCAATTTTTATTCTAGTAATTATAATCTCTAACTTTATCCTTACTAATATTATAAATCGGAAAGTGAGTTTGTTTGTTTGTTTGTTCCGACTTCACGCCGTAACTACTAAACCGATTGCATTGAATTTTTGCAGACGTAAAGTTAGTAGTCTGGATTAAATAACAGGGTACTTTTTATCCCGAACAAATTTGATATTCCCGAGGGAAAACAAAAGTATTGGTATAGATGGCGCTGTATGTATTGGTATATGTCACATAGGCTACTTTTTATCCTTTTGTGACGCGAGCGAAGCCGCGGGTAAAAGCTAGTTTACTATAAAATGAGCAAAATACAAAAATAAATCGGAAGACTGAAAAGGTTCACGTATCTCCGGCTCGAAGTGCAGGAGTAGACATGGAGTGGTTTGTTATCAGTAAGAGTCTGACACTCACACCCTCTCAAAAATAAAAGAAAGATTTTATACAGTTAGATGCGTACTAAGAGCGATGCCCCACTTTTTTGTTGCGCTGCGTTACGTGTTGCTTCGCGGCGTCGCAACGGAACACCGCATTGTTCACCCTACCAGGGTTGCTACGACTTAACGATGTAGTCCGGTGAGACGTGGCGATGATGCAACGGACTAATGGGGCATGTCACCCATAAACTAATATTATTATAAAGCTGAAGAATTTCTTTGTTTGACTGTCTGATTGTTAGTTTGTTTGTGTCTGTTTGTTTATATGTTTTTTTGAGAGCGTTGATCTTCGGAACTACTGGTACGATTTGAAAAATATCGCTTTGTCCTGGATGCTGGATAACTCATTTATAGAAGAAGGCTATAAAACATCATGCTACGTTTAAAAGGGGCCGAACAGAGTGGATGAAGCCCCGTGGGAGTAGCTATCTCTATATTAATAATTTCGTCAAGGGGTATGGTAGACTCGCTCGAAACATTACCTGAATACCTAACAAAACATAAAAAATATCGATTTCGAGTCGACAACACATATCCGCAAAATTCGGATTACGGAGATTATTTCGTTTTAATAATTAATTTTAATGACACTGACAGACAAACCGCAGTCGCCATCTTGAGTAGACAATAAACGTTCCGTTTCATACTAGCTCTAAAATACGCCTCGCCAATCAACACGTTGCCGCGTCAAAAAAATATAAATTAACAAGAAATATGAATAATTTCACGCGAACGAAGTCGCCGGTAACAGCTAGTAAACATATAATTAGGTAAAAAGCGACGCAACAACGACTCAACGGACATGTGGGCCCTCACTGTTATTGTTATTAAGTACTTTTTAGGGAACAGAGAGTATAGTTCCCTAAGATCGGAAAAGGAGGATCCTCCGACCAGGCGAGGTGATCGTGCCTGGCGGGCTTTCTGACCAACAGTTGTTCGTTGGGATTTTCTATCCGTGTTTATTCGCTTGTAAACTTTGCATGTGCGATGTAGGATTCTTGTGACGTCATCCGTTGACATGTGGCATGCGTCGCCACATCACTCCCTCCCTCCTAAGACCGGAGGTCGATCCTGCTGAGAAGACTGTCGATGCTGGAGTTGAGCGGTGCCAGAACTAGTGTAGAAAGTCCCTAGTTCCAGTGAGTCGGAACTGTGCCGCTGAGTGCCCAGTGAGTCGGGTGAGCGGTGCAGGGCGATACTCCAGTGAGTCGGAGAGATGAGTTCGCAGTGTCCCACGGTGAGTCGGGGAAGAGATGCTGCGAGGGTAGGTGCGTAGTGGCTGGCGTCTGCGTTGACGGGAGGAGATGTCCTTCAGAACCGTGTGCAGAAGTGCTGTGCCTAGACGCTAGTGAGGCCGTAGGGAAGAACCAGGCTGCACAACTTCGTTGCAGGCGATGGTGGTCCCTGATGAGGCCGAGAATGCTGGTTGGCTGCGACTTGACTACCGCTCAGCGGAGAAGTGATGAACGAGAGGGATGGCGATACGGATGACGGTGCTGATCTGCTCCGTGAAGTGAAGGTTGTTTCCAATCACGTCGGGGTCACCACTTTAGGGAACAGAGAGTATAGTTCCCTAAGATCGGAAAAGGAGGATCCTCCGACCAGGCGAGGTGATCGTGCCTGGTGGGCTTTCTGCCCAACAGTTGTTCGTTGGGATTTTCTATCCGTGTTTATTCGCTTGTAAACTTTGCATGTGCGATGTAGGATTCTTGTGACGTCATCCGTTGACATGTGGCATGCGTCGCCACAACTTAAAAAAACACTGTAACTAATCTCCTTATATCAAACTATATGCCCGTTTGCCAGGTAAAAATGATAGCAAACTTTAAAATTATTCATTAATCTGTTGATTGGTGTTAATTAAAACTGTGGTTTCATTATGCTCCATAGGTGGAGGACAATGTACTTTGGGCTTTATTGTAGTTGTAGTAGGGTGGTGTTTGCCTTGGTTTGTATCGTCATTCCTGTGATAGAGCCGTCGAAGTATTTCCGCTGTCAGGGCCTTTTCGATGTCATCGTCAGCTGTTGAGAAAAAAAGTAGTTTAATAAACTTGAGATTGTCTTAGTGGGTTCTCAGGGGTGTAAAAATAAAGTTCGACACACGAATGACTGTAAAACTCACAGATATTATTTTCTGTGGTAAAACTGTATATATTGGATTAAACTTTAAACTAAACATAAATAAGGTTGCCCAATAAAACAAAAGTCAAATATTTCGCGGCATAAATACCTACAGAGCGCGTGCGCGGCTCCGGCGCGGGACTCGATGTTCGTGACGTTTCCACGCAAGCGTCGAGCGGTCAGTGGCGGGGAAGCGGGGGAAGAGGAATAGTGAGGTGGCCGTGTTGCCACAAGACTTGCGCGGGTGTGTCCGACACAAAACCGAATTACCGCGTTACAGTAGTAATTAGTGTTTTTAGTAAAAAGTTTGTTATTGTGTCGGTATTGTTTTAGTTTTTATTCAATATAAGCAATGCAGGTAGTATAACACATACTTGCTATGTCCTGCTTGGGTTATAGTGTACCTACCTATA